TTTATTTGTATATTTACTTGTTTTATTGCATGAATATATGATTTATACATGTTAGAGTTGTTCGGGATTTTGAAAAAATATATTTGCTTTTTATTTGATAAAATCAAGTTTGATTTTGTAACTCAGGTGTTATAATTAAAAGAATGGGTTATTTAATGGGTATGTTTCACATTTTATCAATTTTATTGTTAAGTTAAAATTTTTATAAATTTAGAGAAATTTGAATTTTTAAAGAAAATTGATAATGATTAAATGGTACAATTAAAATAAATTAAATAAATTTAAATTGAGCTAATGATAGCTAATTAGTTTGGTATTAATATTTTTTTAATTCATTATTAATCAATACATGTTGTCATCAATATTATATATAGTTTTTTTTTTATAAATGATTATTCTTAAATATATCGAGTTTCACATTAAAAGTTTCAACTAATGAATTATTGTAATAAAATTAAGGGTTTTATTAAATATGTAAGAGGTGTAAGTATAAAAAACTCATCAATTCAGATGTTGTTATGATGTATCTTTTATAAAAAGAATTCATGGAAAAAAACTTATGCTAGTTCGCATACAAAAAATCTTATGTTTCTTACGAGATCACCATAAAAAAGAAGGTTGATTCAATTTTTAATTTTAGAAATATTCATAAAGTTATAGATGATAATAGCAATTCTTATAGGAGTATGATGATGGATACAGTGTAAATAAATCAAAATTATGCATATGAATATTAAAATGCAGATGAATAACCAAATATAAACTCAGTTGAGTTATTTGAAATTTTAAAAGAATTTGACACATTATTATAGGATAAATACACAAATCACAATAAATTATTAATTGTTATATAGATATTCACCATTAAATTAAATTATGAATGAGTAAAATCAGTTATAATAGAATTGTCAAATAAATGAGAAGAATTTTATTTAAAAGGAACATGTTAAATAAGAATTTTTATATTGGTAAATAAGTAATAAAATCTTTTGACCTAAAACATAAAAAATTAATTTATATCCAGATTTTTAATGTACCAGATTACAATTAAAATATAAATTTTATTGAATTCAGTAGTATAAACTGATACTTATAATCTAATTAATTATATTCTAATTCTAAATTAAATATTTTTAAATTATGTAATATAATTAGAGTATTTTTAAGAGTGAAGTTGTAATTACTTTTTAAAATGTTTTTAACTTGGAAAAACATAAAAAAGTATATTTATTTTTTAAAAAATATTTTTGATATTAATATATCAAAA